CGGGGCGCGGCGGGGAAGAGGGGGTCCCGCGCTGCCGCTTGCCCCTCCCTGCTGGTCCGTCCGCGCGGGCAATGGCTTGGGGGTGGCCTGCCGTGGGCTGGTGGGAAGGGGTGCTCCCTGGACGCTCCCTACGCCCACAGGATTGATGTTCTTCTCGTCTTTTGTTAACAGAGGGCTCCGGGCTACGGCAAAGATCACATACCAGGCAGTGCTGCTGGAGAACCTGGTACGTAGCGAGGGTCGGGGCACGGCCTTGCCCAGCCAAGCTGTCCTACAGGCCCTAGCTGACAGTTGCGCTGACGTTGGAGGGAGCAGGAGCCAGATCTGCAAAGGCTGTTGAAGCTGCCCGTGCCTCGGTTTCTCCATTGACTCGCTCCAAGTCCTACAAGCAGTTGGAGCCAGGCACCCGCCAGCCCAGCGCTTTGCCACCTGCAGTTCTTCCTCAGCTCTCCATTTATGATCAGTCTCATTGTTTCCTTCCCACCCCTGTGCTTTCCACCAAGCTGCAGCCCGGGCAGCAAGCTGAGATCCTGCCTCTTTCATCATTAGATGTGACAGCCCTGCTGTTCTCTTGCTTTCGCTTTTCTGCTCCAGGCTCCTTCCCCCTTGCCCACATCTGCTTGGCCGCGCAGCGCCCGCAGGCTGCCCAGGCATGCTGGTGCTCTGGCTTGTGCTCTTGGCCTCACCCTGCCCCGCCACCTGCGCTGTGCTGTGAGCCGACACGGGCTCCCGGGCAGCGTTGTGTCCTGCCTTGCAGGGAGTGACTCTCACCCTGTGGTCAACCTGCGGTCTCTCCCGAGGAGGCCTCTACGGAGAGTGGCAGGGAGTCATCTGCACGGGAGAGAACAGCTCACAGGTCCAGGTGCGTGAGGAGCTCCCGCGAGGGCTCCCCGTGGAGCCAGGGGTGTTCGTGTTGCGAGAGTTGGACGCACGGCTCCCAGCGAGCAGCACAGAGCCGGGGAGGGAAGGATGAGCGTGCCTGGCATCACTGTAGCGAGCAGAGGAGGGTGGAGCTGCTCAGGGACAGAGACGTGCTGTGCAGTGATGGGGCTGGAGGTGAACAGGAAGGTCTCCCGTGTCCCTGACTGCCTCCTCGTGCTGTTCCTGCAGAAGTACCTCCAGCAGCTCTGGAACACCATCCTGCTCATTGCCCTGCTCCTCTGCACGGGGGTGATTGTGCAGGCCCAACGGCAGTCCCGGCAAAGCTTGTTGGAGCAGGACACTGAGGTGGGACATCCTCTGCTCTCCTCGCGCTGGAGAGATGCAGCCAGGGCCTGACCCTCTGCTCTGCCTTCACAGCTGGACCTGAAGCAGCACATTCTGCGCCCCTAAGCCCCGGGAGGCACCAGCCTGGAAAGCCGCTCCAGAGCCGGGCCTGTGAGATAGATAGCTGCGCCGTGTGCTTGGACCAGTTCCACAAGAGCCAGGTAGGGCTGACGGGACAGCCTGGTGCTGCAGCGGGAGGCCTGGAGCCAGTCCGGATCGCGCCGTGACTTGGGGCCGACCAGCACACTCCAACTAACGTGATCGCTTTGCTCAGTTCCAGCCTGGTTTCTCTTCCCTAGGGCTGTCTGACCTCTGTGGGGCTAAGCCTCCTCTCATCTCAGCTTTCAGGGGTTGAGATGTCCCCGCGAGAGAGATGCGAGGCAGAGGATTATCCCTTTATCCTGGGCACCTGGCCGGTCTGTGTGACAGAGGCAGAATTGTGGCCCAGCTAACCTGGTCACTGCACCCTGTCCAGCTCCGCTCATGTCTCCTGTTCGCTTCGCTCCCCACAGTGGCTGCGGGTGCTGCCGTGTTCCCACGAGTTTCACCGGGACTGTGTGGATCCTTGGCTCCTCTTGCAGCAGACCTGCCCTCTCTGCAAGCACAACATCCTGGGTAAGAGCAGCAGCACCTGGGCTGGAGAGCCTGTCTTCCTGGGCAGCATCTCCAGCTGTGCCCCATGTATCCTGCTCTGGGGCACGTTCCTGGTCTGGTGCTGGTCAGGGGAGGCCTGCCTTCAACCTCTGGGGGCAGGCAAAGACAGGCAGATGCAGCAAACGACCTCGCTGCTGGGCTCCGGAGCCCTCAGGGCCTCCTAACCCATCTCAGAGGCTTTGCTGTCCCACTGTGGTGACCAGGGAGCACGTTTGTGCCAGGCCGACGGCTGGGGAGGAATCGTTGCCAGCCAAGGGCTGTTGTCTGCTCCGAGCTTCCCTGTGTGACAGCCCTCCCTCCTTCTCCCTTCCAGGGAACTGCTGCGGAGAGAGCTAGCTGGCCCGACGGATGTGCTCCAGGGACGGATCCACCGCTGCTCCGGGAAGAGAGAGGGAGAGGGAGGGGGGCAGGGACAGGCATGGGGTGCTCTGTGAGCTGTGCTCGGTGCTGGAGTGGGGTCAGTGCGGCGGGCTGAGCTGCGCCTGGGGAGGTGGGGGAAGCCCTGCCTTTATGCTCAGCTCAGCACGGGCTCTGCCCTTCGCCGCATCCAGGCAGCGCCAGCCGGTGCCTGGCCGTTCGGAGA